AGAAAGAAAACACTACTCACCTAGCTTAATGGCTAAAATTAGAAAAACAATTTTTAAATAATACCAAGTGGTGGGAAAAAATTTTTAGTAATACCAAGCAATTGAAATTCTCATGCCCTGTTGCTTGGAGAGTAAATTGTTATAGCTAATTTGAAAAATCGTTTGGCAATATCCACTAAAATGAAATATATACCTACTTTATGGTGCAACAATTCCATTCCTAGGTGTGTGTGTATATATGAGAAATTAATGCATATATTCACCAAAAACAGACATAAAAATATGAAACTATTCATAGCAGCTTTATTTGTAGTAGTTCCAAACTGGAGATGATGCAAATGTATGGATAGGAGAGTGGACACTTTACTTAGGATGTACTTACACAATGGAATACTACACAGGGGGCAAAAACCCAAACCAAAAAACAAAAAATCAACTACTGCTACAAGGCACAACATAAACGAATCTCACAGACATGAAACTGAGTGAAAAATCCAGAAACCTAATGTGCATACTGGGTGGTTCCAAAGACAACTTTTTAGGCCTTACTTTCCAGGCTTTTCTGCTACATCTGATGTTGCTGACTCCCCTCACTTTGAAGCTTCACTCTTTGGATTTTCATGACACCATGTTGTCCAGACAGCCTGCATTCCTGCAGATCATTTCCTGTCTGTCTCCCTCCCCCAGGGGTTCCTGCTTTGTACACTCCCTTCTAAGTGCCGCTCCTCTGGTTTCTGCTGGGTGCTCTTCTCATCTCCACTCAGGTATTCTCCCTGGAGTGTCTCATGCTGTCCATACTATCTTTAGTCAGATGACCCTCAGATGCTGTTTCCCCTCAGTTCAAGGCTATGTTGTCAGCTGCTTGCTAGACAGCTGAATCTGGACATTCTCAGAGACTTCTGGTTCAGTAGGTTCAAACTCAATCCGTGATTCTGCTCCCAAACCTGAAATTCTTTATCTCAATTGATTGTACTTCCACCATTCACCTGATCCTCTAAACTAGAGCCCTATGGTGAAAACAGTGGTTCTTAACCTAGGTGTGCTAGATGGGTTGAGCTGGGTCATTTTTTGTTATAGGAGGACTGTCCTGTTCATTGTCCGATGTTTAACAGTATTCCTGGCCTCTATCCACTGCATGCTAATAGTAACCCACCAGTTGTGGCAACCAAAATGTCTCCAGACATTGCTGAATATCATGTGTATGTGTGCGTGTGTAACTATCCCAGGTTGAGAGCCGTTGGGTTAAAAGCACAGGTTTAGGAATTATATATATATATACACACACACACACACCTATGTAACTTTGGACTAGTTAGCTACCTCTTTAAGAATTAACTGGTTTTCTCTGTAAGATGGAGACATTCTCACCTTATAGTTGGAGCTAAATAATATAGGTAAAGTGCATGGTCTGTCTCGTTGAATATTGTTGAGAGCAGCAAAAACTCTCCCTTCCTCACATCCAAACTCCCAGGCCTCTTAGTTTTCTCTCCTAAGTATGTTTTATCTATCCATCCATTCTTCTCCATTTGCCAGAGACTCAGTGTTTATGTCTCCCCACTCCCAAATTCAGATGTTGAAATGCTAACCCCCAATGTGATGGTATGAGGAGGCCATTCACTCATGAGGGCAGAGCCCTCACGAATGGGATTAGTGCCCTTATAAAAGAGACCGCAGCGAGCTCCCTGCCCCTTCCACCATGTGAGGGCACAGTGGGAAGATGGCTGATTTTGAACCAGGAACCATGCTCTCACCAGACACCAAATCTGACTTTGGATTTTCCAGCCACCAGAACTGAGAGAAATAAATGGCCTTGTTTAAACCATGCCATCTATAGTATTCTGTTACAGCAGCCCAAACGGACTAAGACACCATTCCTATCTGGATTATTGCAACTCCTTGGCAACTGGTTGTCACAACTTCCAGCCAGCATTGCTCCCCTCACATCCACACTTCACATGGCACAGGAGGCCTGGCTGCTGCCCATCTCTCCAGCCCCATCTCTTGTCCCTCCTGGCCTTGAATTTCTAGTCTCATCATGTTGAAATGCTAGGCATTCCTTTTATACCATGCAGTTTCCTGCCCCCGTGTATTAGCTCACACTATTTCTTCTGCCTGGAATAACCTCCCACACTCCTCTTTGTCTGACTGACTCTTGTTCCTTAAGGCTCACTTGAATTTCACCTCCTCCAAAAAGTTATACCCAGAGCCTCCTTTCCTATACTGAGCTCAAAGCTCAACCTCTGTACCGCCCCCCAGCCCCCTGGCCAGATCCATCTCCTTGCAGTATATTTTTGTTTCTGTGTCTGTCTCTGCTGAGCTGCATGGGGGTAGGGAGTGTGTTCTTTTTCATCTCTGTATACATAACATCTAGCACAGCCCCTGACACACGGATGGAACTCAGCAAATATTTATTGAGTGAATGAATGGCTACAGCACCATCATTACCCTCTACGTCAGGTTTAGAGCCATGGTTTAGAAGTGGATATAAAATAGTCCATAAATCTGCTGTCTCCGTGGCTCAGAAGCATTGCTTCCTCAGCCAGGGACTTATGGCAGGCACAGTGCTGACCGATGACACTTGCATAAACGTGCGAGGTTGACTAATGATGCTGGCAACAACAGCACCACCCATATCTGCTTACAACAGCAGCGGCTGGCTCCTGAGAGTCACGGGCACTTTCTTCACCTTCGCCATCTGTGGCCTTAAAGGTATGTGAATTCATGGCCCTTTCCAACTCCTTCACTCATCTCTGGACAGACATGCTGGAATGTTTTCCAGTAGTCTCAGCCATCCCTCAGGGCCACAAATACGGAGTAAGCACGACTCTGTGCATAACCTACTGGAGGTCTTGCTATTGTTCTTCCGTCCAGGACCCCTCAGAAGAGCCCGCCAGGATGTGAGGCCTGCCTCTTCCTGATGTCTGTCACTGCGGCTGTGGAGTGTGTAGGCTCTCCTCTTACTAGGCCTGAGGATGGAAGCCCAGGCAGGCACCAAGAAGTTAAGGTGTTTCCGCAATTTTGCCCTCCTTTCTTCTCCAGTAACAATAAGGCTTTTTTGTCAGGCATAAGGTTACAAGGTTGGCCTGTGGAGTCCCGAGAACCCGATAAATCCCTTTTCAAGCTCAACTCTTTGAACCTCGGTTTCCCTAATTGTCAGGAGTGTGCATCAGGGGGTGTGGAGCCCGTAGATACTCAGAGTCATCAGGATGCTGCCCAGGTGTGTATATATAAGGAGAGCTCCCACCCTGCCAGCCCACGGGGATCCCCAGGCTGAGCGACGTAGCCACCACCCGGGAAGCCCCAGGGCGGAGCAGTCTCCTGAGTCCAAGGGCGGGCCACCAAAGGACCCCGCAGGGAGGCGGGAAAGCAGTGTGGCCTCTCAGCGCCTTTGGCTGGCAAAAAAGCTGGCTCCGGGAGGGCAGGGGTCTGCCAGGTCGCGCCGGGCAGGGCGGGGCGGCAGAATCAGGAAATTCCTTTCCAGTCCGGCATTCCCCGCCCCCCTTCCATGGGTGCCGATCTCTCTGGACCCTGGGAAAGAGAAAATGAAATGCTTCTCGGGTCCTCGCGTCCCTTCTCCAGCCCCCTGGCCGTCTGGGGTTTGGAGCGCCTGTGGGAGCGCAGGACGCTGGCGCGCCGGAGTTAGGGGCCTTCTTGCGGTCAGGGAGCGTGTCCAATCCTCGGCAGCTCCTGGTGCTTCTAAGCGCGCTGCCGCTCGGTCCCCGAGCTCGGGGAGCCGTCCCCCGGCTTCGGTCCCGTTCAGCTTAAGCTGGTGTCACATGAGCCGCGAGGGAGTGGGAACCCAGGGGAATGGG